TGGTGTCTTGAGTTTACTCGGAAACTGCTCTACCGGAACGACAGTCTGTGGAGCCGGGAGCCTCTCTTGTATTTTTGAGCCATACTTGGAGGGGCAGGGGACTTAGTAAGTAAGGTTATAAGTACAGTTATAAGTACCCTAAATGGAGTTACCCCGATTATAACCCTACTTATAACCGACTTACTAAGTCCCCTGCCCCTCCAAGTAGTGTCATAATGTAGAGTCTAAATTTGAAACCGTAAAAGAGAAATGTTATCCAAACTGCCAGGAACAAGTACCCTTATGGGTTTGTATCCATGTAGTATATACCGAGGTCCTAAAGTACCTACATAGGGAGTACATTAGGGCCAGAGTCGATATGGGTGTTGGATGTTCTTTCTCGAAATAGACCCTGAATCCCAGACCTCTAAATGCAAATCCATGAGCGCCAAACACAAACCCGTGCAAACCCGAAGGCATGAACACATGACACCGAATCCCTTACACACCAAAGCCTTCCTGGAGGGCATCGTCTGCATTTGCGTGCCTCTTTGTCCAGATTGAATTCGGCGAGTGCAGGCTTTGAAGCGCACAGACAAAAGCTACCTTTCAACACGCAGGGCCCCGGGGCCTCATCAGACACTCTAGAGGGACTCTACAGTAGATTATTGTAGTATAGGCTTGTTGCTTGTTTTGACTTCGGGACTAGAAGCTTAGCTTAAGCTTGAATGGTTTAGTAGTGCTTTCGGCAATGGAATCCTGGAGGTAGGTTTTTTTATTTTGAGTCACGCAGCTCGGGTTTAGGGAGTGCATAGGTTTGAAGAGTTATTTAACATATAAGTTAAAAGCTCGGAATCAATGCCACAAAAGCAGAACTCTACGCCCGGTTTATGCAGCTTATATGTCTGCAAAACCTGTAACTCTTACTTCCAAAACAGCAGACCTCGCAAACCAGAAGCTTCAAACCTTCAACCCTGGAACACCCGAAGATGAACTCAAGCCCTCTACCCTATCTCGCGGGGACACCTTGCTTAGAACCCTCTTATCACGATGCTTCTGACCCAAGCACACGTGCACACCCCCCTCCCCCCACCAACAAAAACACAAAACGTCCTGAACCCATGGACCCCATCCCATGGGCCGAGACCCTACACCACTAAACCAAACCGAAGACCCTGAACCCCAAGACCTCGCCCTTGAGCAAGTACTTACATCCCCTATACCCTACACTCAAGGCCCTAGACCCTGCACCCTCAATCCTCGGCCCCGCACCCTAAACCCTGAAGTCCTCCTGCTGATGGGCAAAATCCTGCATCCCCCATTATCAGGAATATACCATAGTTCCCATAGTTTAGAGTCCTTAGGGTCATGCAGGATTTTGTCCATCAACAGTATGACCTGCCTAATCAGCCCATGGACTGTTTAGAGCTCCGTTTTGAAGCCCTACACGCAACCACAACTCCTAAATGTTGAACCCTGCACTCCTAAATCCGAATCATTGTAACTCCGAATCCTCATAAAGCCTAATCCTTATAGATCCTAAGTCTTAAACCTTATAAACCCTAACAATGATAAATCCTAATCCTCACCAAGAGGGCCATACATAACACTATTGTGGAATAGGTCACCCCAAACAATAGCAAGCATGGCCTTTGGTGACCTAATTCCATAGTGGTCGTATCGTTTGAACCTCTGGGCTCTATGCAAACCCTACATGTCTATAACCAGAGTATATGCCCCAAAGCCTATACCCCTTTCAGCGCTGAAGGATACACCCTTTAAGTTATAAAGCCCAGGCCCTTGATGCCCTTAGCCGCCGTGAGGCGAAGCCTGGATCCGATCCTGAGACCCTTTTGCATCTGCACGACGAGCCGGGTCGCAAGGAGGGTTGGGTGTAGAGTGTAGAACTTAGGATATGTATGCATATATATATATATAAAGGGAACTCCAGAAAGTTGGAATATGGAGTAATGGTAGGATCCCCTATAATTTACCTTAAAGGGGTTACCATAATGATATTCCAACTTTCTGTTTTCTACTGTATAAATGTATGAGAGAGTTGAGGGTGCAGAGTTTAGAGATTGGGGAATAGAAGTTTATGGTTCAGGCTTTAGGTTTCCGAGTGGCTCAGGACGTTTAGGGCTCCAGAGCTTGAGTGGCTGGGGTTTCGGGAGTATACTTGGAGGGGCAGGGGACTTGGTAAGGGCTCCTTAAAGGGATCTATAGGGATCCTTAAAGGGATCCATGGGGTTTAGGGCTTAGGGTCTACTTGGAGGGGCGGGGGACTTAGTAAGTAGGTTATAAGTAGAGATATAAGTACCCTAAATGGACTTACCCCAATTATAACCCTACTTAGAACCGACTTACTAAGTCCCGTGCCCCTCCAAGTAGGCCCTACACAGCCAGCGCTTACATAGTTGGAAATACGAAGAAGGCTGGGCTTTAGGGCTTCGGGGTTTCAGTTCCGGGGGTGTATGCTTTTGCTGTCAGCGACCTCAAGCGCACGAGGCTTCCCAGGACGAAGAGTTTTAGTCCCTATTTGTCCCTAAACAGTCAAAGAGCATCAGAAAGGATTTAGGATTTAAGGTTCCTTTACAGACTGCTGTCCTGTGGACAAGCAGCCAGGGTAGTTCTCAGAAGTGTAAACCCTGAACCTTGAGCGCCTTCCCGTCCTGAATTCCTTGCGGGCGGAGGTTCAACGACGGAGGTCTTGGGGTTGCTTCTTTAGGGTTTAGGGTTTAGGGCAGTCGAGGTTGTCTTAAACTGAAGCTTCCGTTCAGGTAGACTAGGCCTCCCAGTGGGCTCTTTTGCCCCTTTTTGTAGCCTTAGGTCCCTTATAAAGTTACCCAATACCAAAAAGGGAGCCCTTTCTATTCCTAGGCTACTGGGCATCCTAGTAGCCAGGTTACATTACTGGGCATCCTAGTAGTCGGCTTCAGAGGAGTACCCTCTTCTGACCTATTCTGGATGGCTAAGGGTTTGCCTTGCAGGGTGTCCGCGGGGAGTCGGTCTTGAAGCTCGTTTTCAGTTTCTGGTATTCTGAGCTTCGGAAATTAGGCTCTACGGGCCTTGTTGCCTGCAGCCTCAAAGTTCTTACCCCAGAGCTCTCACCACTAGAGGTTAGGGTTTAGGGATTGTACGGTTTACATCCTGATCTCCTAAACATTATCCCTAAGTCTCCATGACTGCATCCTAGACCTCCACGTCTTTTGACGCCCCTGCAGGACGCAAGTGCGACCCTTTGTGGGCTTCACGAGCACGGGGCCGAGAAAGCTGGCCAAGCCTAGAGATCTAAGGACTCATACTTTAAGGCTTCTGGGCCCAAAGACCATACTATGTAAGGCTTTTGGGATAGTAGGATCCGCAGGGTAAGAGAACCTATCAACGACCCGTACAAAATAGGGGGGTAGATAGTACGATCCTTTAGGCCCAAACGAACCGTAAAAAACTATAATTAGGCATGGAGTTTAGGGATTTGGAAAAAATGGGGTCTTAAACCCTTAGGTATAGTATGACTCCCTAGATGGTATACGAACCTAAAAACCCCTTTTTAGGGCTCATGTCGTCCTTGAGCATTGTCTGGTCGAGAAGAACCCGAACCTTTCAAAATCCGTTAGTTCAGGAATATACCTTAAATGATTTAGGGATCCGCTTATAACTTAAGGTATGTATGTTCTTGACTATGGGGTTTTTGGGAGGTCTGGGAAACTACACTTGCCAAAGAAGAGTATTCCGTTTTGCCGGCTTGTACCGTAAACTCCCACCCAAAGCCGTACGGTTGAGCATTTCGGGGCCAGGTTTCTGGTATACATGCGTGGTCCGGTATGCAAAGCTCTGCCCTTCGTTCTCCTCGAAGACAGCATCACCGTATTCATATGAAACACTGTTGAGTGTTCAAAAGAGACTCATGGTCCACTTGGGTTGTTGTCAAAATTATGGCCCTTTTTTGGGTACCTTAAACATTAGGTGCCGTATTATAATAGGGACCCAAAACGGGACCATAGTTGTGACAACCACCCACTTGGAAGATCATGGGACTTAGTAACTAGGGTTAGCATGAAGGTAACTACACTTATATCTACTTACAGCCCCACTTAAGGTACTTACAACCATACTTACCTAAGTCCCATGATCCTTTAAGTAGGGTTGAGTGCCTGGGGCTGCGGTTTTGCGTGCAACGTGCGTGCGAAACACGTTTTAGCGTGCGCTGTGTACATTTCACTAGTTACTGGTTTATCGTAGCATACACTTTGAAACGTGTTAGTTAACAGTTTTGGATGCATAACTGGACGGGACATGGCACGGCCTTTAAGTTTAAATAACTTGTGCACATAGCATGCAAGGGCAACATGAGCATGAACATGATGGCATCGCTCGGGGAGACGCACAGCGGAAAAGTATATAAGCAAATGATCTCATGTCGTGTCGTGGCTCGCATGTGCAGTTGAGCCCAGCCTAAGTCCCACAACCCTAAACCCGACTACATCATGACAAGCATGCATTCAGTCATTTCTCGTCGTGCCACTCTCGGTCCACAGACCTCATGCAGGTTCCTTGTAATGATCCTGGGCAGCAGTTTACTAGACGCGTTAGGAACACAAGCATTTCGGGTTATAGACTGCATTATGATTTTATAATCATCGAGCGGGACTCCACTCATCGTTTCTGCGACAACTACCTGTAACCACCAACTGCTAGACACTGCTAGATGGCAGATACGTGCAGTTCAGGTCGAGGGAGGTTTGATATGTTTGCACCACTTCATAACCCTCATGAAGCACGTGGCCACATCGACGTCGGCTGCATATAGGCCACTGGAGGTTCCGTGAAGCTGCTGGAGAAGCTTTCCCAAGGCATTTAGCCAATATATATATATATATATATATAACTAGAACACTGCCATGGTTCCTCGGTTTGTGAAGCACCTGCCTTGGGTCACTATGCTGCTTGTGCCGCTGTGTCAATTTGCAGGTGACTTGGATGGCTTTAGTGTGCGGAAACAAAAGCCTTTGAGACAAGTCATGAAGGAGGCAGGGCTGTCTAATACTAAGAAAGTCGACATCAGCGACCGACCGCTCAGCAAAGACGGCAAGCTTCTCCTTTCACAAATCACGGAAGCTGGGTCTAGGGGCGACTGGTGGCAGGTTCAAAAGCTGTTTGCTGACTACGCAGGATCTGAGTTGCCAGTCTTTCATGCTGTCATGCAGCATGCCTTCAACCTTGAGCAGATTCGAGCTGGTGCGGAAGTCTACAGGAAGCTTTGTGCGATGAAGATCCCACAAAATGCACCAACTTTCACCATTGGTCTTAAACTCTTTGCACGACTTGGGCTGAGGGATGATGTTGAGGACATATGGAAGAAGGCAAGAGCAACATGCGAGCTAGACGAGTATCTGGCCGGGGCACGCATTTTTGCGGCTGCAGCACACGGGGATGTTCCAACTGCGGCAAGCATTTTGGATGAAATGAACAAGACTGGTGTTCAAACAAGTGTTTGGCATATCAATTCTGCGATTCGAGCCTGCTGGGAAGCCGAAGGCAAGAATGACAATGCTGCTGATTTCTTGTTTCAGTATCTGCTCTCCCTTGGACTCGAACCAGATGATATCACTTACACATGCCTAATCGGAGCCTATTCTGATGCCAGCCTGCAGAAGACACAGGCTGCATATCAGGAGATGAAAGATCGGGGGATTAGGCCGACTACGGCCTTCATTGAAACCTACTTGGTGACGGTGCTGCGCAAGCCAAAGGAGGAACCTTGGAAATTGACAGATCTAATGGCAAGCCAGCTTCACCAACGGTCGCCTGCCCGCCTATCAGCTGCCAGGGCGTCGCTCAAAGAGTTTCGGGGCGCAGGGGTTGGCATGACCAACTTGTGTGAGCGTATAGATCTTGCTCTCCGAAAAATGGCAACGGACGAGACTGGAGAATAGTTATTTGACGTGTACTGCTAGCATGTCTCTGCAGCGTGAGAAGTCCGTGGGAAATTGCAGCTTCCCGGGTTCAGGTTCAGAAGCTGGACCGTCAGTTTATGTTCCTCTGCTCTCTGATGGCATCTCTGGTATTGCCGGAGCAAGTCTGAACTTTGGTTCCAAACCTGAGCCTTTTGCACCGCGCCCCGAGTCTCTAACCTGCTAGTCTTCATCCTTCGAAACACACTGCCTTCAGCCTGGCACGGAATTTCATTTTGGGGACAAAAGTCTAGCTGCAGTTGTGAGGGCCTGGAGTCGAATGGCAGGGGCAGGGGCTATCAGGGGCACGCGTAGCATGTCATGGAATGTAAAGTTGCTTTCGCCATGTTGACCCCTTTGGCCCTCTGGTTCCAGCACTGGGCCCAAACCCCAAACCTGAAATCCAAAGACACAACACGCAAACGATAAACCCAAGCCCCCCATCCTCAAATTCCGAAGGGTCATCCAAACCTCAGCACTGTACATGGTTTGAGCGCTGCCACATATAGAAACCGGAGCCTGCGACCATCAGCAGCCAGGCATCGTAAAGACTGTCGAAGTTCAGCCCATACTGCAAAAAGTGTCACATGGAGATGCTGGTCTGGGTGAGATGTACTGTTATGGGGAAATCGTAATAGTAGTTCCTTATACAGAAACCCTACGTTCTACTGTATTGGTACTTTGGACCCTTTGGGAGAGCATGTAAGGCTGATATTGCGTTTGTCATGTTATACTTGTAGGGTTACTTGCTTCTGAAGAGCGCATACTTCGTGCAGCCCCGCTGCGTCACCCTGGATGTTTCATGGAGCTTATCCAGCGGTTCCAGATATGGTTGGTTGTCAAAATTAGGGTCCTTGTTTGGGCACCCTAAATATTAGGTGCCGTATTACATTAAGGACCCCAAGAGGGACCTTAATTTTGACAACCACCCATATGCTGCCACAATGGACTTAGGCCCTGAACGACACCATCCTTGGCATGACTTTCGGAGCCCCAGTCCCAGTACAGTAGAAGCCTAACAGTTGGAAACCCAATAGCTTCAACTCGTAAGAGTAATGTATAGGGAATCCCAGCACTATTTGGCCTTAATCCGGTTTCCAACTTTATGGGGTTTACTGTAATGGTAGCGCGGACCGTCCAGGTTGCTTGGAACTGACAAGAAGCAAACCCTGAACCCAAACAAAGCAAGGCAAAGCACAACCAACCAATCAACGCAACGGAAGCCTACCTATCATAGGACTTTTAGGGGGATGGGGGGTAGGTGACTATACTTCCTTAAATAGGCCTTATTAAGTGCTTATTATAGGTCCTTATGATACCTAGGTCGTTGGACCGGGACGCCTACCTGCGCCTGCTAGACCATGGCAACGAAGACAGCTTGGCCGCCTTCCTCATGAGGCAGGCCATGACCCAAAACAGGATCCCTTCACCTAAGTAAACAAGCCCGAAACCCACACCCTCACAAGCCATAAACAAGCTCGAAACCCCTACTTCTGGGACCTTACTGTAGGTTTGGACGTCAGAGGGCTCGGGATACGAATGTAAGTATGTCCGATGCAGAGAGTTCTTCCTGTAGCCTTGTGTTCTTCTGTTTCAAACCCTATCGGAATTGAAGTCAGAGCCCGACTTCTACAAATCCCTCAATCCCCGTATTCTGTCCTGACCATGTCCCTAAAGGTCCATGCACCCAAATAGCACATAGTTTGGGCCCAATGTACCTTTTTAGGGAGTACTTTAGGGCCAAAGCATATACTCTTTGGGTACATAGACCCTCAGGGTGTGATACCGTGCCAGTGAAGAGCCAGAGTTGGTTTTGACAGGGGACTGAACAAGATGCTCCAAGTTAGGACAAGAGCTTGTGGCTTAGGCTGGGTTCTGGAGTACCATACGTCACTTGCTTGATGACATGTTCCTTAAAGGAACCGTTATGGACGAACAGTTTGCACATTTTCTCCCTGGTTATTGCAAAGCCCCGTAGGTTCAGGATTGAAACGAGGTGTTCCATTCAATTATAGGGCGCCTCCTCAAATAATACTAGGTTACTAACCATCTACTATGTAACTTATGAACCCATCGTTTAGGAAGCTGGGGCTCTAGGATCCATGGTTGTTCGAATTTGCGATCGCCATAGCAGTGTTCTGCCGATGACAACTTGATCCGTAATCTCGGCCGCAGAACTCGGAGCGAACACGAGCGGCGACAAAGCTTCAAACTAGTTCCAAAAGGCGAAGATGATCTCCGAAGTACCTATAGTCTCCATCGTAGTTCCTTCTTTTGGTTTAACCAATTCTATACTAGGGATCCGAAAAGGTAACCCCAAAAAGGAACTACAATGGAGACTATAGGTATGTTTTGACACGTTTTTCTATCACGTGCGATACTCCAAAACTGTAGTTCGAGTAACGGCCCCATGTTGGGATACTAGAGGGGCCTAACTCGTTATCAATACCAGTTTGGGGGTTCCGTATTATAACTTTGGTCTAATGGGCGCCAAAACCCTATTCTAGCTGTTAAGGCCCCTACATTATAGTATCCTTGTAGATCCTTTATAGTGTGTTAGACCGCTTTAAAGGAACGCTATTCCCATTATTAAGGCCCCTATATCTATCTATCTATCTATCTATCTGTCTATCTATATATATATATATATATATATATATATGCGCTTCGTAGAGCTGCCAGGCTTGCTGCAAGTCAGGGGAACGACCTCCAGGAGGCGATCCTGTCGACGGCGTCTGAGGTTTGGCTTCGAGGTTTCTGGGGTTACTACTATTTGCTTAAGAACCCCCCAAAAATGAAAAATATTTCTTATGGGGGTAATATAGGGATTATTATTTTCATTTTTTTGGGGGGGGGTTCTTAAGCAAATAGTAGGTTAGGATTTAGGTTTTCAGGGTTTTAGGGTTTAGGCCTAGGGTTTTTAGGGTTTGGGGTTTTGGGGTTTTAGGATTTAGTGTTTTGGGTTTTAGGTTTTGTGGTTTTGGGATTTAGGGTTTAGTGTTTTGGGTTTATGGTTTAGGAGGTGGCTGCACTTGAGCTTGGAGGGGCCGGAGCTCTGGGGTTCAGGGCTGTGGACTTACGCAGCATTCGTTGAGTTCCCCAATGGGTCCAAAGTATCTGCAAAGTAGAATGTAGGGTTTCTATATCAAGAATTCCTATTCTGATTTAGGGAAGTATCCCCCATAAAAGTACACAAGACCCTTGGGGTTCTTTTACCGGCTCGACGCGGGGAAAGAGCGGGGTTTGCCAGCTAAGGCTTTTGCTTGCCTAAAAATTCGGCAGGTGCAAGCGCCTCCTGTTCTACACATGGGTGGTTGTCAAAATTATGATCCCTTTTTTAGGTCCTTAATATAGTACGGCACCTAATATCTAGGGTACCCAAAAAGGGGCCATAATTTTGACAACCACCCACATGAGCTCATGTAAGGCCATGTTGAGGGTGCTGTCGGTTGTAAGCTCCTGCCAAAGACGGCACCTCAGCAGAGAGCCCAGTGTGGAGCTAGCAGGAGCGCCTGATAACCTTCGGATCCCATCGGGGCAACAGTTAGGTACTCGGTTTAGGATACTAGTTATGTAGGTTAGGATTTTGGAGAGTATATGATTATTAGGTACTTGGGCCCTTCAAAATATGCAAGTGGATACTACAAAGGCTAGGAAGATTATCCAGATGGCGCACCTAGCCGCAGTCGTAAGCCCGAAAATTGACACACTCCAAAGCGAGTGCAGTCTATCTACCCGAAGCCCGAAACCCGAAACCATTGAAGCTGGTATCGCATCCTAATATGGGACCTGACTATTACCCCATACTATTTTGGGGCTTCCTTATTATAAAATCATGGTATCATCGGCGCCAAAACCCTCTTCTGATTATTAAGGCCCCAAACATATAGTATCCTGGTAGATCTCTTATATAGTTCTATAGACCGCTTTCAAGGAACCCTATTCGGATTATTAAGGCCCCTATACTAAGGCCCTAAAGCTTCAGCCCCGGGAGCTGCCGGCCACTCTTCACGCTCTGCCCTGCACCCCTCAAAGCAAGGCTGGTTTAGGGTTTAGGGGTTTAGGGGTTTAGGGTTTAGGGTTTTGGGTTTTGGGTTTTGGGTTTAGGGGTTTAGGGTTTAGGGTTTTAGGGGTTTAGGGTTTAGGGTTTAGGGTTTAGGGGTTTAGGGTTTAGGGTTTAGGGTTTAGGGGTTTAGGGTTTTGGGTTTTGGGTTTAGGGGTTTAGGGGTTTAGGGTTTAGGGTTTAGGGGTTTAGGGTTTAGGGTTTAGGGTGCTACAGCCCCGGACCCCAAAAATGCGAAGTCCTAATCCCAAGCCCCTTGAAGCCAAATGGGTGTCAGAGGAGACGTTGCTCATCATTCGGCGGTTGGCCAAAGAGTGCTGGTGGGAGAAGAAGGACCCATTGGTGTAGGCGGTTAGAGTTGCATGGGGGTCTACGGTGTACGGTACGGCAGAACTTCGGCATTCTGTCGACCATAGACAGTTTGGGGCCAGGATGGGGGGGGGGGGGTCTAGGATTTTTGGTGGTTTATTGGAGCCAGAATAGTTTTGCATCCTCAAGATGCTTGACGTGTTACAAACCCCTACCACCCATGATCAATGCCTTTAATTCTCTACTATGGATTTCCTATAGCTCCGAATCCTACTGTTGATGGACAAAATCCTGCATTACCCATAATAGGGAATATACCATAATTCCCATAGTTTAGAGTCCTTAGGGTCATGCAGGATTTTGTCCATCAACAGAACAACACGACAAAATTGGGGGGGGGGCGCCTTTGCCCCTTTACCCGAGGGCAAACTCTGTGAAAGGAGACCATGCCTTGTCCGTGGAAACCCTAGAGGCAGACCCCTCAACCCTAAACCCTAATTTTGGGTTTAGGGTTTAGGGAATTACCCACACTTTCGACGGGTTTTGGGGTCGAGGCTTTACCTCCTTGTCGCAGTGTCAATACTCGAATGCAGTTCCTATCATTTCGCTGGAAGTCCCAATGACCTCTGTCATTTCCACTCTTTTCCCCGTTTGTGGCGAGGTACCACGGTCATTCAAACATGCGCAGAATGTACGATAAAGCATTTCTCGTCATCGTCCCGACACGCTAGGGCCCTAAATGGCTACCTATGCTATTCTGGGGATTCCTTAATATGATTATTGCCTAATGGGCCCCAAAACCATATTCTAGCCATGTAGGCCCCTACGCTAAAACACCAGCCGCCCTACTAATTAATTAGGCTTGTCAGCGTCATCAACTTGAGACTGGCAAGCTGGTTCTCGACTATTTTCCAAGAGGGTCCATATACATTACTAGTTATTATGGAATTAGGTCCCCAAAGCCTTTTGAAGCCTAATTCCGTAGTGGTAGTATACATGGACCCTCTGGGTTTGGTTTCAAGATGTTCTAAGCCTCTACGCCTAAGCTAGGCCATTGATTCCGGCAAAAATCAAAGCGTAGGCCCCATTTCAAGGAACAGATAAGCGCTAAACCCGAAGCTACACCCTGAACCCGCAACTCTCAACCATGGGCTCAATTAAAAAGATGTCGATTTCCACAAGGATTTTGGCGAAGTGCTGCTTTGCTTGGGCCGCGTCCCTGGGACAACGGGCTTTGGGGCTTTGGGACTGCTAGGCTTCGAGTGTGTGGCCTTTTTGCTCGGGCTGTCATACTCAGACCACCTGGTGGGTGCGGTAAACGCCCAGAGACTCCAATAGCCTTTAAAATACAAGGAATATACCTTAATAGGATTGAATCAGTATCCATGGAATGGAGCCCAGTGTGTAGGCATATTGTTTTGAGTGGAAATCTCTGGTGAATCAAGGCTTCCTTCGATTTGGAGGATGCTGCTAAGCATTGTGTGTACATGTAGCGCACCTGCAGTATGCATTGAAATTCCCTTTTTGTATGGCCAGTGTACAAGTACAATAACACAATACCGTGCCCGACACTATGAACCACAATGGAGGTCCTCTTGGCCTATGGGGCACTAGGCTAGAAGACTGGAGTCAGAATAGCAGAAAAGCCTAGTCCGTAGACCCGGGAAGCCAACAACTGGGGCAGGACTTAGCTCGCGGAATCGCTAAAACTTCAGTTGCAGGAGTACGGACTCGACAGGCGTCTTGCTTACCAGAATACTTTCAAGTGGCGTCTTTAAAGATCCTGTATACTTGGAAGGGCAGGGGACTTAATAAGTAGGCTTATAAGTAGAGTTATAAGTACCCTAAATGGATTACCCAACTTATAACCCTACTTGTAACCTACTTACTAAGCCCCCTGCCCCTCCAAGTAGGTTTTGTGATTGTTGAGGGTTTCATTGGTCCCCCTCATGACCGGTCCGTGAAGTACGGATGCGACCAGCTCTTGAGGTGTGTTTCAAGATTGCACACTCCCTAAGGCTCCATGTACCCTTATAGTAGATACTTAGGCCTTAAAGTACCTTTATAGGGACTGCTTTGGGGCTTAAGTATCTACTATAAGGGTACATGGAGCCTTTGGGACTGTGTCGGAATCCAAAAATCAGCCAGATGGAAGAGGCCGCATGGAGCTCGTATGCCGATTTGCACCATCGGCACAGCTGGATGGATTCAGCATGAGAGTGATTCTTCAGGCAGCTTGCAGGCAAGCAAGCCATGCACAGCTACGGTGTTTTCCGCGGCGATTGAAGGGGTGGTGCGAGTGAGCAGCAGCTTATGCAGCGTGATCTGGCCGGGGCGGCTTCCTTGCCTGCTGCAGTTCGGGATGGCAGGCAGCAGTGGAACAGGAAGGGGGCAAATCCTTCTACGTGAGCTTCGGAGAGATGTTTCGCGTTGTGGGGCATTCGGCCAAGCTTCGGCACAGGAGTATCCAGAGAGCCCAATACCCCTTAATTCAGGAAGATGCCTTAAATTATATTGGGCTTCATATTATGATTTAAACCGTATTCCTTTGTTATCAAGGGGTATTGGGCGCTCCGGGTATCATGGGGCACATGGGTAGTTGTGAAAATTAAGGTCTCTTTTTGGGGGTAACCTACATAATAGGTGCCGTATTATAATAGGGACCCAAAACGGGACCTTAGGCTTCGGGTTCTGTGTGCTTCTTCATGTGGGAGTTTCCGAAAATAGGGGGTACCTGATTTTGGGGTCCTTATGATAAGGATCCTACTATCTCTTAGTTTTGACAACCACCCATTCCTATAGATCCCTTAAAGGAACCCTTAAGGATCCCTTATAGATCCCTTTAAAGGAACCCCTAAACCCCTAAACCCTGACTTTTGTCATAGTTGGGTAACATTTTACATCTCCCAATATGAACCCTTATAGAGCCCTTTAAAGGAACCCTTATGGTACCCTTATAGTAGCCCTTTAAAGGAACCCACATGATGCAGTCGGGCCTGTGGTTGCCGGACGTTTGCATGTTTCGGGGCTTCCCCGTCCGGAGTCCCCCTTTCGGCCCAAGGGTTTAGGGTTTGGGGTTAAGGGTTTGGGGTTTGGGGTTTGGGGTTAAGGGTTAGGGTTTAGGGTTTGGGGTTTGGGGTTTAGGGTTTAGGGTTTGGGGTTTAGGGTTTAGGGTTTAGGGTTTGGGGTTTAGGGTTTTAGGGTTTAGGGTTTAGGGTTTGGGGTTTGGGGTTTAGGGTTTAAGGGTTAGGGGTTTAGGGTTTGGGGTTTGGGGTTTAGGTCCGGAGTCCCCTTTCGGCCCAAGCATGGGAACCCCAGTCCCCGCAGCCGAAGCCCTGAGACCCCAGTTCTAAACGCTAAGCCGGCAACAGTACAGAAAGGCCAAGGCCTAACCCACCCTCTGCAACACCCGTAAACCATTGAAGCGTGAAACCCTCAAGACCCTAAATTCCCGCTTGAACCAAGACTCAAACCTGCAATGACAATAGCCGCCAAACCCAGTGAATCAACTTTGCGTTTCCCCCAAAGCTTGGAGCCAAGACCAAACCCTTTTTTCGATCCCCCCCCCGCAAAACGCCCAGGTATGCCTGCTTCCAGCTGCGCTGTGGACTCGGAGCCGTCAACGGCCACAGACCCGCGCATGGGCAGCATTAGCAGTCGGGCTCCCTTCCTCGGAGAGTCCACGTTTCGTCGTACCGCTGATGGACAAAATCCTGCATGACCCTTAGGACTCTAAACTATGGGAATTATGGCATATGCCTTACAATGGGTAATGCAGGATTTTGTCCATCAACAGTATGGAACCCATTTCCTGCACGAGAGGAGGTTCAGGGATCCGCCAGCAGAGCGTGGCTCAGCTCAGACCCCCCCCTACCCCTTCGGATGCAGAGTCTTGCAGAGAGAATAAGAGATTTACAGCGCAAAATCATAGAACAGTTAAGTTAATAAGCAAGCGTAAACCCTAAAAGCTACCCTAATCCCTAAACCCTCAACGTTCAGGCTCAGTGGGACTTCCACGACAGTCCAGTCTGAGATCCCGCCCCCACCAGACGATGTTGCCGAGGAGTGGTTTTGTGCCTTTGTCCGGGTGATTTGGCTGTTTGAGCCCGAAAGATGCCGCAGATGTTTGGTATAGGGTTTCGGTTGCAGGCCTTTAGGCCAAGAGAACACTCGTTCAAACTCGCAAGGTCTGAAATACCTTGTCCATGATTCCGGCGGGGTGGTAGCATGCTGACAGCACCACTGCCGCACCACTATCAAGCTACATTCCGCAACCGAAGCCGGCAACGACAACCGCGACAGCTAATTACAGACGCAGCAGCAGCAGCAGCAGCAACAGCAGCAGCAGCCGCAGCAGCCGCAGCCGCAACAACAACAACAACGATGTCGTCAACGCAACCACAGCGACAGGAGGGAGGACAGTGATGGCGATGGTGTGGATGACCGTGATGAGTGTGATGTTGGCGACGCTAGGACTACGACGGCGACGACGACTACTCCTGCAGCAGCTGCTGCTGCGACTTACCACGCCTGCTACCTCCACAGCTACGACAACTATCACTACTACCACTCCGCGCCACTGCTACCGCTACAACTACTGCGCCGCCGACGACAACGACCACGACTACGGCTACGACGACGACGACTATTAAGACTGCTACTACTTCTACTTCTGCTTCTGCCTCGACTTCTTCTACGCTGCCGCTACAATACGTATTACACCTTATGATGGCTACACAATCCAGTTTGTGCATTCCATTCCCTCCGCACCCCAATTGAACCTTGAAACCCTGCAGTGTACCCTCAACATACCCTAAGGGCCCATGTAATCATATAGTATATCAGTATATACATTGGCCTTAATGTAGTCCTTACATAGGTACTTTGGGGCCCATGTATCTGTATATGGCTACATGGACCCTTAGGGATAGGTGTTAAGTCCGAAACCCCTACTCGTAAGACCCTCAACCCAAACGGTGAGTGAGCCTCTAAACCATCACCCTAAACGTTCACGCAGGAACCTCTAACTAAACCCAACCCAACCTCTATACCCCAATCATCCCTAAACCCTAAACTTCCAATCAATAAACCTTTTTCAAAACCTCAAACTCTATACCCTAAACTCCAAACATCCCTATACCATAAACCTCATACCCTAAACCCTAAACGGCCAGGAGTCAAAAACTCTGAGCTTCGTGGTGGAGCCGTCCGCTGGTTCGGTCTCTCGCCGAAGTTGCGCAAGAGGGTCTATAGGGTTTAGGGTTGAGAGGTTCAGGGTTTCAGGGTTTGGGGTGTACAGTTTAGGGCTTTAGGCTTTGGGGTTTAGGGGTTTATGGTTTAGGGATTTAGGGTTAAGAGGTTCAGGGTTTAGGGGTATACAGCTTAGGGGTTTAGGCTTTAGGGTTTAGGGGTTTATGGTTTAGGGTTTAGGGATTTAGGGTTAAGAGGTTCAGAGTTTAGGGGTATAGAGTTCAGGGGTTTAGGCTTTAGGGTTCAGGGGTTTCGGGTTTAGGGGTTAAGAGGTCCAGGGTTTAGGGGTATTTGGTTTAGGGGTTTAGGCTTTAGGGTTTAGGGGTTTAGGGTTTAAGGTTTAGGGTCAACACCATGATAAGGACGGTCTGTAGGAGCCTAGTTTCAGAAGGTAGTCTACATGGACCCTGTGCTTGGAGGATCACGGGACCTAGTAAGTATGGTTAGAAGGCAGGGGATCTTAATTGGGGTTATAAGTAAATAGAAGTACAGTTACCCTACTAGTAACTCTAGCTACGAAGTCCCATGTTTTTTTCAAGTGTTCCTCAAACCTCCCCTTAGAATCCTGACCTAGGTCCCCAAAAAGGAGCCCCTCAAGCAGCCCACAAGGAACCCTATTAAGGAGGCCTGTAAGGAATCCTCTAAAGAAGCCTTTACTTAGGGGTAATAAGAAAAATGCTGTTAAGTTTGGGTGATTAGAATCTCTAAGAAACATCTAAAATTTTATAAATTTTGCTAGGGTTCTAAGTTCAGTGTAGTTTAATATTGGTGGGACCCAAGTTACTAAGTCCAGCGATCTTTCAAGTGCGACAGACTTGGGGCCGCCTCGGTGCTCTATGGACCTACAGGGCTCAGGGTCTACTTGGGTGGTTGTCAAAATTATGGTCCCTTTTTTGGGTCCCTGGTATAGTACGGCACCTAATATTTAGGGTGCCCAAAAAGGGACCTTAATTTTGACAACCACCCACTTGGAGGGCAGGGGACTTAGTCAGTATGGTTATAAGTAGAGTTATAAGTACCCTAAATGGAGTTACCCCAATTATAACCCTTCTTATAACCTTTGCTTACTAAGTCCCCTGCCCCTCCAAGTAGGGTTTGGGGTACAGGTTGTAAAGTACCCATAAACCCTAGCAGGACCTCTAAGTGCCCCTTAATACGGCCCTCATGGCCTTTAATAGTGGGTATTTTGGGTATATTAGAGGGTAGTTGGGGGCAGTGAAGTGGCTGAATTGACCCAGGCACAGCAGGCGGTCAGCGAAATGGAAGACCTGGAACGTCTAGGGCCCCTGCCGGCCTGTGCACTACTTCATCCGGGGGCTCCGAGAATTCGCTACGGGTTCTTTGAGTCTATGTATGGCCAGTGGAAGCGAAGGGAGCGAACGGACACCTAAGTTCAGCATGAGTTTGGCATGCTGTGGCTTGAGCTCTTTCGCATGTGGAGTACATGGGGCGTGGAAGCGATCATGAACTACCTGCGCTTGGAGTTGGACATGGGAACATGTTGTAAACCCTGCCCACAGGTCACACCCTACCCCTTTTTTAGGGCACCGGATTTCTATCAAAGAGATACTGACCACAAAACTAAGTACCCTAGTAAGCTACCGAAATTGACCCTGAAAACTTTGCATTATGTAAGGTACATGGTCAGAACCTTCGAAGAACCGGGTTATGGCTGGGTGAGTCTAAAATAAGACTTTGGCTATATAGTGCTCGAGGGTTCGGTAGGCACCCGGACAGCGGTGGGTTTAGCTTGAGGCCTCAACTTGCCGTGATCTTGCAATCCCCCGCCGTTCACCGTTTGCTGACCGCAATAAACTTCCATTTGCTGTGAGTCAAGGCTCTTGGCGGCACCACGGTCTCTTGGATGCGTGCCTTGATGCGTTTATGGTGGAGGGCTAGTGTCTAGTAATCTAGTGTAGGGCATGTGATCTACCCGTGTGTTCTCAAAACACCACGATCTAAACACTGCTCGAAGTTTCGGAATGTGAGGAGCAATAATTCAAAATTCCTGCGTTGCCCTTTCCCTATCGCAAGCAACACAGTACTGTCTTTCAACGGATCCCCAAACAAAAACGCCAGCCCAGTAAGAACCTGAAGCAGAAAGCCTTGACCAGACTCAACGAGTGATGCTTCACTGGCATCGTAGCATAGGGGCCTCAATATTCAATTACCTATACGTTTTTTTTGGGGGGCCCCTTATCAAAATTCTAGTAAAATGGGCCCCAAAGCCCTATTCTACCATACTTTCATACTTTTTCGAGACCTGGTACTTAAAGGGGACGATTATGAATTGAAAGTATATGCTTGTTCTCCCTGGTTATTAAGGTCAGGGTCAAGGGCTTGAGGGTTCTAGACAGGGGGTTCGAGCTGGAGCCTGCTCGCTCGAGGGGTTTGGGGACGGTTTACCTTAGAAGCTGCCCTCACCCTGTAATGGTGGTATAATAGGAATATAATAGGGCCCTAATATAATCCTATATAATCCTTATAGTCACTATTACAGGGTTGGGGGCCCCTTCTAAGGTTTACCATAGGTAATTTTGGTGGTTCCTTCTTATATTTATAGTATACAATTATTGATTTTGGTGGTTCCTTCTTATAGTTATAGTATACAGTAATGGGCCCAAAGAACTATATTCTAATTATTAAGGCCCTTATTCTGGGATCAGTTGCGGGACCGCAGGAATTTAGCAAGCCGGGCTGTCAACACGTCCATTCATACATGCATGTCCCACCTACGAAGCCGCTCATCCCCCCCCTCCCCCCATTCCTCTCATCGCTTTCTTTGGTCTGTAGCCCCTGGACGCTGAACCCAATTGGGGGACTTCTTCGTGGTGTGATGGCTTGGCATCCTGCGTCACCTGAGCATTACGGTTAGCTCAGTAACAATCTCTGCACCCTTGCAATGCCAATCCAAGGTCGAAACCCTAAACCCCTAAAAGTTCCTAAAGCCCCTGTCTGCTAAGCCCTAAACGTCTGTAGGGTATCTGCATAAGGAACTACTATTATGATTTGGGGACGTATCCCCCATAACAGCACATAGGACCCATTGGGCTCGCCCTGCAGGAAGCCCAAGGCCCAAGGCCAAGCTTTTGAAGAAAACGCGAGTCTTTGTCCACGAAGGACCTGAAGGCGATCTTGGCTTTCCGCGCAGCAAAGCGCGCAAATTCGCGAGCTCTTGGCAAAGGAATGGAGAGCACGTGATCATATACGGTTTAGGGTTTAGGGTTTGAGGTTATATCCCTGCTCGTATAGTCACGGGCATCACTGCTTGCCGTTCCAGTCCCACGGAGCCAGACATTCCCCCCCACACTGCCCTAGGCGCACCTCAAGACAGCAATGCGAAAGCGGCCTGCGGCTGCTCCATGCAGCTCCGAAGATTCTTCAGAATCATCGTCAACAACGCCGATGTCGCGTAGAAAGTACTCAGTTCCATGCGGGAGCTATTTCATTTGCTAGCTGATGTGGTTTGAAATGGCGACAAAGGTTCGCTTCGTCAGACGGCATGCCGTGTCCAAGCTCCAAGTGATACAACACTTTCCATCCATGCCCTGAGCGAACTCTTCAACCCCTAAGCCCCTAAATCCCCTAAACGGCCTAAACCCCGAAACCCTAAACCCCCAAACCCCTGAATCGCCGAGGTGGGCCTATACCCGTTGAGCTGCGCTTCGGTCATCGACACGCCGCGCCGCTGCCCTCTTCCTGCATCGTTTGATGGTTTAGGGTTTACTGGGCTTTGGAGTACCATGCTTTAATACTTTTTTGGTGGGACCTGTTACTTAAAGGGAACCCCTAATTAAACCAAAACCCTAAACCCTAAACCAAAACCCTAACCCTAAACCCTAAACCGTACCATTATGAAGTAAAAGTCTATACTTCTTTCTCCCTGGTTACTCCAAAGCCCAGTTTAGGGTTCAGGGGGGGTAGCTTTGGGCTGGTGGGCTTAAACGGTTTAGGGTTTAGGGTTTTGTGGTTTAAATACAGTATAAGTATAAGAGAGGTGGGCCTTCTGGACTCTACCCTAATGCTCCTAGACTTGCGTAGGGAGATCCCAAACCTTAGCCCCCAAAGCCCAAACTTAAACCGTCGCCCAGAAAGCCCCTAACCCTCTTAGGAGCCTTAGGGTAGGGTTAAAGGGTATATGGCTTGATATTTGTGTCGGGGCCCTGTGAGATTCATGGGGTCCTTCAGCTTCGAAAAGTCAGAGACACCAAATGGGTGGCTGGCAAAATTAGGGTCCCTTTTTGGGTCCTCATTATAATACGGCACCTAACACTATTTAGGGTACCGAAAAGGGACCGTTATTTTGACTTATTTTGACAACTATCCAAATCATAGAGGCTTGTTTTGTGAGTTGTCTTTGTCAAGTTTAAGTTCGCGTATGGGAGTTAGCCAGAGATGCGAACATAGAGCCACAAGTCGTCCCTTTTCATGTCACACAATTCCTAAACAGCATATATGGCATACACAACTCTTTATACTATTATTTCCGACAGTTCCTCAATGTAGTTAACCCGATTCCACTTACTGAGGCCAATTTCTGGCGAAACAGAGGCCGTCCATCTGAAAATCTTTCATCTACTCACAGTCATAGCAAGTCCCCCTTCCCAGCTGTGGCCACAAGCGTGCATGCAAGAGGTGATCTTACCTAAGTATACGTTCAAGGATTTTGAGGTTGAGGGTTTATAGCTACTTAGGATTAAAAGGTTAAAGTTTGTCTTTAGGGGGTTTATCTCCGTGCCGCAAGGGAGCCCAAAAAGGGACTCCTAAACCCAAAGGGTCCACGTGCCAAAAAGTATATACTTTGGCCCCAAATGCCTCAAAGAATTTGAATAGGGGTTGCATCAAGGCCGCATTAAGGCCAAACTAGATACTATTGGAGCACGCGGACCCTTACGCAAACTTAAGAAGGCCTCATGCTTTGGCTTTTTGGCTGCGGATTCTTGGCTCCGAGTTTCAAAGGTTTGTTTTGTTTTGGGCTTTGGGTGTGTTGAGGCTTTTGGGCCTGGAAATTTCGGACCCGATCTGGTTTCCCTAAGGGTCCATGTAGCCATATACAGGTACACGGGCCCCAAAGTACCTATATAGGGACTACATTAAGGCCAATGTATATACTATATGAGTACATGGACCCTTAGGGTGTTTGTTTGGCCTAAACTGAGGCGCGGCGGGCAGTTTCTGACACCCTACCAAGATGGTGCGGAGGCTTTCTTGCACCCGATGCTCCAAAATCCCTTAATTACGGGATATATCTTAAGTCATATGAGGGATCCTATTATAGTCTTAAGGTATATTCCTTAATCAAGGGATATTGGAGTCTCTGGGTGTGTGCAGGGTCAGAGTGCCTCGGGTTTAGGGTTCAGGGTTTGAAACACTAAACGCCCTAAACCCAAAACCACTGGTATATGCAGAACATACGTGTACCCTGAGCGTCTGAAAGTATTTAATGACTCAGTATTTAGTTTTTGGATAGTACCCTAAATCCCGCACTTGTGTTTGGGATCGTACGTCACTCTACTGAAGTCCCTCCCTTGCAGTGCTCGGGGCTACCCGTTGACAGGGCACGCAAGTCGGTATGCTTTGTCACAGGGATTTCGCAGCTTAGGCTTCTTAAAGTGCAGCTCCTTGGTCCCCATCTTATGTTGCAGCTTCCGATGACGCATATGACCCTGAACTAGCACTTGCAGCCATGAGGTAGTCATTACCCTAAGGGTCCATGTACCCATATAGAGATACATCGGCCCCAAAGGCCCTATACAGGGACTACAATAAGGCCAATGTATATACTATATGAGTACATGGACCCTTAGGGTTATTGCTTGCCCATAAACCTGAACCCCAAACTAGAACCTAAGCCCAAAGCCTTAAAACCCGAGTCCTTAGTCCACTCAACGGTTGATTCGTTTGTTTTTATTTGGCGTTACCGTCGACCCTAAGCCGCAAAACTTCTAAACCCCACACCCTAAGCCCCAAATTGAAGGACTTGTCGCCTCCACGGTTTATTCCCAGAGACTCCATTATCCCTTAATTAAGGAATATACCTTAAAACTATAAGATCCCGAATATGACTTGAGGTGTATTCCTTAGGAAAGGGATTTTGGAGTCTCTGGGTTTGTCTACTTTATGGGAGTTGGCGTCGAGTTTAGGGCGTCAGCAGAAAGTTCAAACCTCGGCATTCAATTCCGGGTCATGTTGGGGAGCTGGGTTATCGGATCTCACTGGTTTAGGGTTTAGGGTTTGGGGTTTAGGGTTTAGGGTTTTAGAGTATTTTTATGGTTCATGGGTAGAACTTGGAGGATCACAGGACCTAATGTGCATGGCTATAAGAGAGAGGCTGCAAGTAATTATGAGTGTAGTTACCCTCATACTAACGCTAGTGACCAAGTTTCAGGATCCTTTAACGAATGTCTTTGGGATTCTTTGCGGCGTTGGCTTGAAACCCTATACCCTCAGTTTGGGATGCAGCTCTAGGGATGGTCTTGTGCAATTTCTTCTTGAACCCTGTTGCTATAATGTGGGAGTTTCCGAAAACAGGGGACCCTAATATAGCACCCTAAATAGTAGGATCCTTATTATAAGGAACCCCAAAATTAGGTACCCCTATTCGGAAACTCCCATATGGGGCCTGACTAGTTGCCCGTATACCAACCTTATTCCATGGTGTTTCCTTCTAGTATGCACCTGAACCCTGTTCCAGTTATTCAGACCCTTGCTCAAACCCGAAATCCACGCTCTGCGCCGTCAGCCCCACAACAGCCCTAAACTCTGAACCTTGGTTGCAGGACGTCGATGTCATTGCTGTCTTTGAAGATGGGGTCAAGGCCCTGATCCACATGGTTTCCGAAAATCGAGGACCTTAAAATCGCACCCTAAATAATAGGATCCTTGTCATAAGGAGCCCCAAAATAAGGCACCACTAATTTTCAGAAACTTCCACATGGTGAGGGCTGCAGAACTCCGAAACGCCCTGAACATCCCTCATGGCATCCATAGAAGCCCCAAACTCCCATGCCCAATCATTAAACCAGAAACGACTTTGTTCAGGGCAAAGCCTTGTTTCAGGGACAATTACCCTAAAGCCCAAACCCCTAAATTACCGCATCTTGCTTTTGGTAGAGATTGGAGCCACCGGGTCACGAAGCCTCCTCCTTACAAACCGACCCGACTTAAAGGATCGTGGGACTTAGCAATTACGGTTATGATTAGGGTAACTATACTTGTAACTACTTATAACACTAATTAAGGTACTTATAAGCTTACCTTACTAAGTCCGTTGATCCTCCATTATAGAACCCTTCTAGATCCCTTTAAGGAACCCTACTATAGAACCCTATAGCACCCTAAAAAGGGAACCCTAAACCCTACTTACCAAGTCCCATGATCGCAGGATGTTGTAGACCCTAAAGCCGATGCAGCTTAAACTGTCGACCCCTCAGAAACTTAGGGGTACTTAGAAAGAATTTTTAGTTTTGTGTTATTATAATCCCTAAGGAACAGCTAAAATAGAATTTTTTGCTAGGGTTCTAGGTTCAGTATAGGAAATACTTCAGCAGGGCTCTTACCACATGTGAGCAGCTAGGATCCCTAGCTTATTAAGTGACGAGTTTGACTAACTTTGTCAGCTGTCTGCATGAAGGTACACCCTAGGAACGAAGTCTCTTACCCAAACCAGCCGAGCTAACAGGTGTGTTATGCCAGTGCCTTCTCGTACTACATCCCTGGAATATTGGAGGCTCCTTGTACCGGAGCTGCTTCGGTGTGTGGGAGGGGATTTAGGTTCTCATGGACATGGAGAGTGGAGCTAGGCTAGAAGGGCTGGTAAGGGTTTGGAGTTATCATAAGGACCTTCAGGGGGCTACGGGGAGGGTGGCTAGGGGGCCTTTATGCCCAGAATAGGGACCTAATAAGGCCTATCTTAAGGAAGTAGAGTCCCCTACCCCCCCCCTCCTTTTCTAAGGGTCCCTATGAAGTTAGCAATTAGGGAGCGTGCCGGCTCTTGGGGCGCCAGGCTTCAGGATCAAGAGCCTTGGCATTGAGAGGTTCAGTGTGTCCTCTTGTTCAGGGACCTGAGGCCTCAAAAGGTGGGATGAAGGTAGGTGGGATATTCCCAGACAAGAGTCCTTATATAAGGGATCCTTACTCCTACCTACCTTCATCCCTTTGAGGCCTCCGAAGGGAGTGCTGATTCGGCACCTGCAATCGCGACAAGAGACTTGGTCATGGCCGTGTTAATACAGTCAGGATACAATCCTCACAACTGTAGCCACATGCCAAAATTAGCTTCACAGGTACCAGGGTCTTAGGCCCCAAAACAGTGGAAAGCATGCAAGGTTTAGAAACCCTAAGTGTGTCAACCCCATACTAGTTATGCCCTCACCCTAAAAACCTTAAGCCGCAAAGCCATACCTGCACTAACCCCCTTTTGATCCCAAGTAAGCCCTATGAGCCTTGTTGGAGCCACGTAGGCGATGTCGCCAGCCACCGGTGGCACGATCGGAGGCATCCAGCTGGAGGCCTGGTAAGCTTACACATGTGGTCTCATCGCAGGGTCAGAAACTGCGCAACCAAGCTAAACATAGGGATAGAGAATCACGTGATTATAACATATAATATAACGGAGTGGATTGACATTGTAACCCTCATGAAGCGCCGAGGACCCTTTCCGTCCGTGTTCCGGTTTAATGTAGGAACCTGATTAAGAAACCCTGGGCCTGTAACCCGCAAAATAGTGCGATTCATACAAGGAACCCTATTAAAGGCCCATGGTTTCTTAATCAGGTTTCTAATTACTTGAGGGAGTGTCGATCTCCAGATTGGGATACCAACACCAAGCCTTGACCCTCGAAGTCCAAACCCTCCTGCACTGTGCTAGGCACAGCCCCTAAAATTCCCGAAGGTCCGAAGTACATAAATAGTACAATGTAGGATTTCTGTATAAGGAATTACTAATATGACTTGGGGAAGTATCCCCCATGACAGTACATAGGACCCTTTGGGATTCTCAACCTTAAACCCTAATTATCCGCCAGCGGCAGGCCACGACGTCCGATCTGGGGGCAGAGATTTGTCAGGCCTTTCTTGCCGGGAGTATGGACAGGGTTCGTTGTTGAGGTGCTTGTGGCTTCGAGAGTTTAAGCACGGAGATCTGACCCAGAAGAGTTTGGCTAATACAGCGCTCGAGTAGCTAGTCTTTGAAGTCGCCCCAAAGTGCGTGTACTACAGTACACGCCAAAACCTATTCTGAGGTATCAACATCACTACTATTAGATACTCCAAAGACCTCTCCTCATTATTCAATATTATTCAGGCCACTACATGTCGACACTACACTCTAAAACCTTATTCTTATGCTTACGGCCACTGCATTCCTACAGTTTATTCCGAAGACCTATTCGAAGAGTGATGGCCTTCCGACGGCGGTTCTTAGGGAGCTTCGGTGATTGAAGTCTTTGGGCGAAAGCTACAGGTGAATAGCCTTGTTGTTCAGGGTTTTCCGTCTAGCACCGAAAATCGATTTGTCAAGTATTTGAACATGAGTTTGAAGCACTGAGCCCTGTACCGCACACGTTTATAGTCTATGCCCAGTTATAGTACTTCCTCAGCTGCCGCCTTGTATGGATGTTTTTTGCTAATTTGGTGTTTTCGCTGGAACTGCGCATGTACCTCTTGAGAAACAGCGTCAACAAAAACCTGCAATCCATACTCCAAGACCCTAACTACGACTACATTATGCGCTGATACCTTAAGCATAGTTCCTGGACACGGGTCCCCTAATTAAAGAATCGTGGGAGTTAGTCACTGGGGTAATTGATCAGGGAAACAGGGAAACTACACTTATCATTGCTTTGCACCCCGATCAAGGTATCTATACCCATTCCTGCAAAGTCCTATGACCCTCCACAACCCTAGTACACTAAGCTCTGGTACCCTCAGGTCTTTTTGGGGGAGAAGGAGTGCCAACTTATTGGCAGGCCTGCGCTCATACCGTCACGGTACCGAGGGCTAAGACGAACTAAACCCCCCTAAACCCTAAACCCTGAACCCTAAACCCCCCTAACTCCTCAAATAATTACCCATACTATTTGGGGGGTGTCTCAGTAGAATTATAGGGTCATGGGTCCCAAAGCCCTATTCTAATTATGAAGGCCCCTATAGTAGTGACAGAGCCGTCTCTGACCTAGGCATGCCACATGAGGCTGACCCGCACGAAATCCCATTCCAGGACCCCTGAGCCCGAAATTTCAACCGCAATACCCTCGAACGGATCAGGCCGAGCCGAACAAGGGCTGCTTTTCTGTCGCCATCGAGCGAAGAGGTGTGCTCCAGAGACTTTCTTGTTAAGACTCTGAAAGAAGCGGGCAAGAGAAAAAAGGGACCTTAAGAATAAGACCAATACTATTGCGGGGGTTCCGTATTGGATTTATAGTACAATGGGCACCGAAACCCTATTCTAATTGTCAAGGCCCCTGTATTAGCCTGAATATTCTTAGTAGCTGGCCGAGTACACTTTACACGTTTTGGGATAACCTTCTCCCTTCTGAAACTGAACTGAAGCTGTACCTTCTCCTAGTAATAGAGTAGGTAACCTTTCACCTTTTTGGGGTAGTATAGTCCCTATATAACTCTATATAACCAAAAAGGTTAACCTTGAGTTCCCCTTTGAGTTTATGTGGCCTATGAACTCAAGTAACTGACTCGAAAGCCGGAGCTTCCGGCTTTGGATTCGGATAATTCTGCTGGCAGTTTTAACAAAGCCATGTGGTTGTCAAAATTATGGTCTTTTTTTGGGCCCTTATTATGATATGGGCGTTACGACTTACGATTCAATGGCATCGCTTGGGATCCTGAATTTGTCTCTATGTATGGTATAAGCGATGGTGTCCAGCTCTCCGAAGCCATTGCCAGATGATTCATCGTAGTGGTCCAGGTACCACCCATGTGGTAGACACTTTGATTTTAAGGCCAAAACATCTATGCATTGTTACCTCAAGTGTGACACCAAAACCCTCTTCCAAATAAACCAGACCCCTAAATTATCGACCCTACATTAAGACCAAAGCATACACTACAGCAGTACATGGGCAGATCTCTAAATTAGGTTCCCTGTCCAGGTCCCAAACATAATACGGCACCCTTATAGAAAGAACCCCACAATGGACCCTAATTTAGAGAACTACCCACATGGACTTTGTAGTTTGGGTTTGGCCTCCAGAGAACATTCCCGGAGACCCGAGACCGTCATACGGTTGATGAGATATATCCTGCATTTCCCATGATAAAGAAGCTATACCGTAGCTCCCATAGTTTAGGGCCCGTAAGGTAATGCAGGATTCATAACATCAACCCTAAACCCTAAACCCTAAAACCCTATAGATCCCTAAAAAGAAGCCCTGTAAGGTACCCCTATAGATCCCTTTAAAGGAACCCTAGGGATTTATATCATCAAGAGTGGTTATGGCTGCAGGGTTTAGGGTGCAGGCTCAGGCTCAGACTTAAGGCTTAGTGTTTAGGTTTTAGGCTAGGCTTAAGTTTTAGTGTTTAGGTTTTAAGCTTAGGCTTCGGGTTTAGTGTTTAGGCTTAGGCTTAGTCTTTGGGTTTAATTTTGTTTTTGCTTGAGGGTTAAGGGCTTCCATGACATCCCATTCCAGGAGGGTCCTGTTCCGCTTCTATTGGTGGCCTCCAACGGCAACCATGTTCTTGCGAAGGCTGGTTGGCTGATAGGGGTTACTTGGAGGTTCATAGTTAGTTATAAGTGGGGGTATAAGTCGCCTAATTTGGGTGATAAGAAAAGTTACCCTACTTATAACCCTACCTATAGCTACCCATGGGCCTCCAAGTACAGGGCTGACATGGCTCACAGGTTTATAGGGCTTGTAGGGCTTATAAGGTTCACGGCTTTGAGGTGTAAAGTTTGGTCTGGCAGGTTGAGGGCATGTAGTTTAGGGTTTTAATCTCAAGTAATCCCTTCCCCCATTTACTAAAGAGATCCCTAATTATAAAAACACTTTTCCCCCGATCCACCCGGAAGTAGCACCGCCCTTTAAACCCTAATTTGAATTAGGGGGTTTAGGGTCTATAGATTGAGGGTTTAGGGGGAAGAATTATAATTGCATGACTCAGCAACTGCTCAATTGAGCCGCATGAAAAGCTTTATTAGCCAAGCCTTTATTGAAGCCTATTTTCTTAATGCGTATTTACGGATTTAGTGTGTATTTGCACGGATTTGTGTATTTGCACGGATTTAGTGTGTATTTGCACGGATTCAGTGTGTATTTGCACGGATTTAGTATGTATTTGCACGGATTCACGGATTTAGATGTATTTGCACGGATTCCGTGTGTATTTGCACGGATTTGGTGCGTATTTGCACTCACGTCCTGTGTAGTTGCACGAATTTAGTGTGTATTTGCATGTATTTATACGCATTTAGCGTGTGTTTGCACGGATCGTGAGTATTTGCACGCAGTATTTGGTGTCTAATTACAGGGATTTAGTGTGTGTATTTGCACAGATTCCGTGTGTATTTGCACGCATTTACTGTGTACCTGGTGTGTAGTTAGAGGGATTTAGTGTGTGTCTTTACACGGATTTAGTGTGTGTTTGCATGGATTCGGCGTGTATTTGCACGGATTTAGTGTGTATTTGCATGGATTTGGTGTGTATTTGCACGCATTTCGTGTGTATTAGCACGAATTTCGTATGTCTTTGCACGAATTTCGTATGTCTTTGCACGGTTTTAGTGTGCATTTGCACGGATTTGGTGTGATTTGCAGCCCTTATAATAGCGTTTCTTAAGTCTCCAGAGAGCCCAGAGCTTCAGGTCACCCCAAAATCTCGATTCCGGGTGGGGAAAGGGCCCAAATGACACCCCCGGGGATTGAGCCCACGACCTTCCCGAGGAGGGCTTTGGAGGCAGACGTTTACCCATTAGGCCATGGCCAGATGGTTCTGGGGGCGGGCGGCTGCCTCCTTACGGGGTTTGGCCACGGTCGCAGGCCCAATTCTGGCGGTGTCCCCGTGGGCCCTTTCCCCATCCAGAATCGAAATTTGAATTGACCAAAAACCGCCAAGAGCACAACCAAACCCGCCGAAAACCGCGCACAAACCCACCAAAACCCACCCATTCCCACTTTCCCATGCCCTTTGCCCAAATGCTAATTATTGGTGCTGATGCTACTCCTGTTAGTGACAATACCACTACTACTCCTGCTCCTGCTGCCGCTGCGATTGCTGCTACTGCTGCGACTGCTACCACTACTACTACTGCTATTTCTCCGACTACTACTACTACTACTACTACTACTACTCTGCTGCTGCTGCTGCTACTAGTACTACTACTGATCCTGCTGCTACTACTACTACTTGTACTATTCCTTGTACTACGATGACGACGACTACTTCTACCACCACCACCACCACCACCACCACCATTACCACTGCCACTAATTACCACTGCTGCTCCTGCTGCTGCTGCTGCTGCTATTCTTGTTATCACTACAACAACAACAACCACTCCTCCTATTACGACGACAACTGCTAACTGCTACCACTATTGCACGGTTTTAGTGTGCATTTGCACGGATTTGGTGTGATTTGCAGCCCTTATAATAGCGTTTCTTAAGTCTCCAGAGAGCCCAGAGCTTCAGGTCACCCCAAAATCTCGATTCCGTGTGGGGAAAGGGCCCAAATGACACCTTCGGGGATTGAGCCCACGACCTTCCCGAGGAGGGCTTTGGAGGCAGACGTTTACCCATTAGGCCATGGCCAGATGGTACTGGGGGCGGGCGGCTGCCTCCTTACGGGGTTTGGCCACGGTCGCAGGCCCAATTCTGGCGGTGTCCCCGTGGGCCCTTTCCCCATCCAGAATCGAAATTTGAAATGACCAAAACCAAACCCGCCGAAAACCCGCACAAACCCACCAAAACCCACCCATTCCCACTTTCCCATGCCCCTTTGCCCAAATGCTATTGGTGCTGATGCTGCGGATGTTCTACTCCTGCTATTGACAATACCACTACTACTCCAGCTCCTGCTGCCGCTGCGATTGCTGCTAATTACTGCTGCGACTGCTACCACTACTACTACTACTACTACTACTACTACTACTACTACTACTACTACTACTACTACTACTACTACTACTGAGCCATTGCAGCCATGTCTCATCTTCCATCCGGTCAATGCACGCTCGCTCATTGTTGTGGGAGTGGTAGCAGTTCGTAGTTGTCGTCGTAATAGGAGGAGTAGATTTAGTGAGAAGTAACAGTAATTAGTCGTAGTCATCGCAGTGGGTAGTAGTAGTAGTAGTAGTAGTAGTAGTAGTACTAGTAGTAGTGGTTGTTGTAGTGACAACAAGAACAGCAGCAGCAGCAGCAGCGGTAATTAGTGGCAGTGGTAATTGGTGGTAGTGGTGGTGGTAGAAGTAGTCGTTGTCATCGTAGTACAAGGAATAGTACAAGTAGTAGTAGTAGTAGTAGTAGTAGTAGCAGCAGGATCAGTAGTAGTAGTACTAGTAGCAGCAGCAGCAGCAGCAGTAGTAGTAGTCCTCCAAACCTTCGACATCGACATCATCATTATCATTATAAGCATCCTCATCCTCATCCTCCTCCTCATCATCCTCCTCATCATCATCATATTAAGCAAAGTACTGCCGTCAGACTGTCGGAACAACAATTCATGATGAAACTCAGATACGAATCTTACTAGCATGGAAAAGAACGTTTCCCAATCATAGCCGTCACATCACCAGCACGTGGATGGGCACGATGCTTCCAAAGGATTACAATTGCATGACTCAGCAACTGCTCAATTAAGCCGCATTCAAAGCTTTATTAGCTAAGCCTTTGTTGAAGCCTTCTTTTTTAATGAGTGTTTACAGATTTAGTGTGTATTTGCACGGATTCCGTGTGTATTTGCACGGATTTAGTGTGTATTTGCATGGATTTCGTGTGTATTAGCACGAACTTGGTGTGCATGTGCACGAATTTCGTATGTCTTTGCACGGATTTAGTGTGCATTTGCACGGTTTTAGTGTGCATTTGCACGGATTTGGTGCGATTTGCAGCCCTTATAATAGCGTTTCTTAAGTCTCCAGAGAGCCCAGAGCTTCAGGTCACCCCAAAATCTCGATTCCGGGTGGGGAAAGGGCCCAAGTGACACCCCCGGGGATTGAGGGCTTTGGAGGCAGACGTTTACCCATTAGGCCATGGCCAGATGGTACTGGGGGCGGGCGGCTGCCTCCCTAGGGGATTTGGGCACGGTCGCAGGCCCAATTCTGGCGGTGTCCCCGTGGGCCCTTTCCCCATCCAGAATCGAAATTTGAAATGACCAAAAACCGCCAAGAGCACAACCAAACCCGCCGAAAACCCGCGCAAACCCACCAAAACCCACCCATTCCCACTTTCCCATGCCCCTGTGCCCAAACGCCATTGGCGCCGATGCTGCGGATGTTCTACTCCTGCTATTGACAATACCACTACTACTCCTGCTCCTGCTGCCGCTGCGATTGCTGCTAATTACTGCTGCGACTGCTACCACTACTACTACTACTACTACTACTACTACTACTACTACTACTACTACTACTACTACTACTACTACTACTACTACTACTACTACTACTACTACTATTACTACTACTACTACTGCTATTTCTCCGACTACTACTACTGCTGCTACTATCAACAACAACATCATCATCATCTTTTGTCCTCGAATGATCATCGTCATCATTACCATCACCACCACTACCGCCATCTTCATCATAACAAGCATCACCGTAATCGTCATCATCATTTTCATCGTCATCATTTTCATCATTTAATTACTTGTAGAACCTGTGTTTCTGGCAGTTGAGATAACAACGGGACCCTAATTATAAAAACATTCTCGAGTTTTTATTTAGGGCGAAGGGGGGGGGGGGCCCCGACCATTTAATATTAGGGGGAAGGGATTAAGAAGCTTTCGAATGCCTATGTGCTCGTACAGGATCCCTTCTATGGCTGTGTCGGCCTTAAAGGGATCCCTAATTAAAAGACTAGTCAAGCGAATATACTCTCAGAGGTGGTGGAGAGTTCGGGTCAAATGAGACTCCGGTGGTGTACACTATGTATCTACGGGCCGCCTACACAATTACCAATACTATTCTGGTGTTCCTTATTGTGGTTCGAGTTTAGTATTCCCAGTAGTACGGCCCTTGTATTTCTGGCATCGGGAGAAGTGTTAGGCTCCAAGGAGGAGTCGAGGCGGCGAGGCGTTTACGGGTTTACGGTTAAGGGTTCCTAGACCACCAAAAGTAGGTAAAAGAATGACCCAACAGCCTATAAACGACTATTATTCTACATACTTTTGGTGTCCAGGTTTAGTTATTGGAGATATGATGGGGGGAGGGAAGACGACAGGCACGGTCGCACCATGCTCATTCTGCTTTGTCTGGATCTGCAAAGGCTCGAATGCTTCTGCTTCTTGCAAGTTCTGTCGTAGTTTGAGAGCACACCAGATGGCGATGTTACCAGTGAAGGCGGGCTCGGGATAAAACAAGAACTTACAAGCGTGTCACTGTGTGTTATGTTGTGCATCTGCCGGCATATGTATACATGTCCACCTAAAGTCATGAATTGTGCATCTAGAGGCATGTGTACACTAAGCACATATGTATGTATGCATGTACATATGTACATAAAACCTACACCTTTGCGCATTCGTATGTGTGTTCTCCTGAAAGTAATGAAATTGGTTTCACATGTCTGATGATGAAATACACAGACATGGTGTTTAGTATTCCAATGTGTAGACAGGTTCTGCTTCTGTATGTTAGTTATTTTTCATGATGTGTGGATGGCATCACATACCCAGAGAGCCCAAGACCCCTTAGTTAAGGAATAGAGTTTAATCTTAATATGAAGCCCTATATACTTTAAGCCATATTCCATAATTAAGGGGTATTGGGCTCTCTGGGTACCCGGGTCCCTCTGCCCAAGCATGCATACGGGTACACCCACACTCCACAGACTGTGCTAGCAGCCGAGGGGTCTGAACAATTAGAACAGGGTGTTGGGGTACATTATTTTCATATACAGTTATGATATTAGGAACCCTAAGGAAACGTGTTGGTAAATGGTCAGGCTTCTACATTATAACGATAAGTGACGAGTTTTGCAGGACCGTGAAGGTCACAGAGGGCGGAGCAGGAGGTATAGGGTATGCCCGATGGTCGGTTTAAATGCCATGATCACAACACTACAATCAGTCAATCAGCTACACTGCCGATGCGAACCATTGAAGGCTCAGGTCCAATCTCAACCAAATCAGTTAGGGTTCAGGGTTTATATGTTTATACAAGGTTGAGGGCTTAGATGCCTCCTGATGAGAATTGGAAGCTCAGCTAGACCAATTCCCACAGCAGTCATCAGAGACACCTAAACCCTAAACGCTAATTCCTAACCCCTAACCCCTACCCCCCCCCCCCCCCCCGCACAAATATCAAGCATTCATCCGAATCCGTAAGTCGTGGCGCCATCAGGCATTGCCCCTCCTGGGCTTATTGACTTGGGCTCACCGTGCCACAGATGTGGCCACATTGGAAAGCTCTGCCTCTTTGGCAGAAAATTTTTGCTGACGGGAATACTTCAGGATACCAGGGCTTTTATGAATAGGGTAAGTGTACGTGTTGCCCCTTATAATCCCAATGCAGGTGCTTATAGCCGTAGTCCCAAGATGCCAGTGTTCGCGGTGTGGGCCTGGGCCCGAAGAGCCCGAAATGCAAGCTGCAAGCCAGTAAGCCCAGATTGCCATCGAAGGCCGGTTTAGGGTTCAGGGGTTATATTACGATTACTCCGAAAACCTACTGTAAGTAGTCAGGCCTCTATATCAAACGAACCCCGAATCCTATGCCTCCAGTGACCTTATTATTGAGTCCTTAAAGGGGTCCAGGGCGCGGGCCCTAACTATGAGGTCCTTCGGAAGCATAGGGGAACCTCAAGCCGGCAAGCACCCTAAACCCTAGACCCTAAACCCTAAACCCTAGACTCTAGATCCTAAACCCTAGACCTTAAACCCTAAACCCTAAACCCCAAAGTAAGCAAGGCTTCGGGTGCGTGCAAGACTGCCAAATTCCACCCCGGTGGTGTCGGTTCGAGACTCGGCTCCCTCGGAAGAGAGTACAAGGCCACTTCGCTGCAGAGTTACTTAGAATAGGGTTCCCTTGAAAGAGTGTCTTTTAAGGGCTCCTTAAAGGTATCTATAAGGTTACTATAAGGGATCTAGAAGGGTTCTATACTATATTCTAGAAGGTGTAGGCTTACTAGCTGAGCAGGTAATCTTTTACCTTTTGGGGGTTTATATAATCCTACCGGAATACCCTAGCCCCAAAAAGGATAACCTTTTCAAGTATGGCAGAATGCTATAACCCCCAAAAGGTTAAAGGTTCCCTACTCTGCTACTTTGCTTAAACCGCGCTAAGCATATAGGGGCCTTAATAATTAGAATATGGTTTTTGGGCCCATTTTCTTGACTATAATAGGAACCCCAAATAGTCTAGGTAATTGTTAAGGCCCCTTTGCTGCAGACTTAATGGATCATGGGGTTTGAGGTTTAGTTATATAGGGTTTAGGGTTCCTTTAACGGGATCTATAAGGGGTCCCTTAGTGGGATTTATTGGGTTGGAGGATTTAAGGTTTAGGGGTAAAGGATCATGGGACTTGGTAGCTGGCATTATTCCCAGGGTAACACAACTTGCAGTTTTCTCATCAGACCAATGGGGCGCTTGTAACTTATAACCATACATACTGAGTCCCATGATGTTCCAGGTACGCCAAACAGGTTGTGATACGGCTGATGGACAACATCTTTCAGTTCCCATAAGACGGAGCCGCCTATAGCTCCAACAGCTTAACTTGTGGTAATGTTGGAATGCAAAAACCTTTCGTCAGCAGCAGTAAAAGAAGTAGTCGATTTGAGTGAGTTTTCTTTTCATGGGTAGCGTCCGGATTCGTCTAGCATTGGATGATGTTTGCATCTCAGACGTGCTATGGACTGGACTACGGGAACGGGGACTGCACCAGCTGGGTGATCCTCGCGCGAGACGAGTTCCTTCTCTGCCAACCATACATAATTGAATCCGGAAAACGAGGACACCGAAAACAAACCCCGATATGTGGCTGGGCTTTGGATTATCATACTGTAATATTTTTGGGGACTTGTTACTTAAAAGGACCCAACTGTGAAACAAAAGTCTCTACTTTTTTCTCTCTGGTTACTTCAACGCCCAGGTGGCGTTGAGACAGAGAATGCCTCGCCGGCCCTCACCAGAGTCACATGCAGCTGGAGAGAGAACCTGGATTCCTGAGTAGTGCGCTTTTTAAAGGTTTCCTTAAAGGGCCCCATAAAGGATCTATAGCGGTCTAGGGTCTACTAGGTTTCTGAGTAGTACCCGTTCGCCCTGTTTTCGTTTGGGATCTCCTTATTTCAACGGAGTATTAGGAAAAAGGGTCCCCGTATTCTTGTGGTAAACGGAACCCTTAAAGGAACCCTTATAGAAAACTTACAACCCTTATAGAACCCTTAAAGGAACCCTTATGGAACCCTTAAAGCAACCCCTTTAAACCCTTAAAGGAACCCTTATGGAACCCTTAAAGCAACCCCTTTAAACCCTTAAAGGAACCCTTATAGAACCCTTAAAGGAACCCTTATAGAACACTTAAAGGAACCCTTATAGAACCCTTAAAGGAACCCTTATAGAACCCTTAAAGGAACCCTTATAGAACCCTTAAAGGAACCCCTAAGACTTTACTGAGCAACCAAGGAACCCGAACTTGCAGGCGATGATGGCGGCGGCAAAGACGCAGGCCCAGGAGAAGTGCCAGAAAATCTTGTGCCTTACGCCAAGAACCCTAACCCAGAGGGTCCAAGTACTCCCTATTACAAGACTTTAGAGCTGTTTTAGGTACCAAAAACCATAAATAGGAGCTACTTGGACTCTTAGGGTAAGAGTCTTGTAAATGGAGTTATGTTTTTCTTTGCAGCTTGAGCCGCTAGTGATGGGCATTTGTAAGTCGATGTAACCTACCCTAAGGCTCCTAAGAGGGTCGTGGGCTTTCTGGGGGCGGGTTTCGGCTTTGGGGGCTAGGGTTTGGGATCTCACTACGAGGCTCCAGGAGTGTTAGGGTGGATCCCGAACACCCCACCTTTCAGCCTTTGTGGGGGCCATGCAGTCCTACCATAATGGACGAGGTTAACAGTTTCGTTTCTGGGCCAGGATACCCGAAATTCTAAACCCTAAAGCTCCTAAACCCTTAAGCTCCTCAACCAAGAACCCTTAAAGGCCCTAGAATTTCTAAGGTGCAGCATGGCCAAAAATGGGACGTGGCAGACGTTTCGCAAGGACGAGGCGAAAGAAAAACCGTGGCCCAAGTGACTCGGAGAGAAGTTCATTTTGGGGCCTTGGTGATTACCTATCGGGTTCCTAGGGTTCCTTTACAGGGGTCTATAAGGGTTACTACAAGGGGATCTACAAGGGTACTATAATATAGGTGCCCTGGTTACCTATACTATTTTGGTTGTTCCTTAAATGTTGATGTTAATATACCCCAAACCCCTATTCTAATTCTGAAAGCTCCTTTTAAGGCTCCTATGTCATTCGAGGTTGGTGGCCTTTCATTTGGGGAGGCTGCTTGTCTCTAGGCATAGTCGTCAGGCGCCAAGCAGGAAGCCCCCTGCTCCTCCTCTGCTTGAGGTATGTGTCCACAGTGGGCGTCTGGGGCTGGCAGAAGGCAGCCACAGAAAAATGTGACCAACTTCTATCCTTTGCCGGAGAAACGCTGATTGATCCCGCCAAGCTATGGGGCAACCTCGTCAAGGATGACACATTCAACAAAGCAGCCTGCGAGTGAGACCAAAGAGTCAAAGAGCTCCGAAGTACCAGCCGCTTGGGGCAACCTGTTCGTGTTTGGCCCATGCAGCAAAGAAGCCAGCGAGTGAGACCAAAGAGTTTCGAAGTACCAGACGCTTGAGACTTCCATGCTCCTCCACTTTCTACTCTACTCCTACTCCTATTCTTACTACTACCAGTACTACTACTACTACTACTACTACTACTACTACTACTACTACTACTACTACTACTACTACTACTACTACTACTGCTTCTGCTGCCACTACTTGTCATCGGACAAGTACTGTTGCTGCTACTATTACTCTTAGTCACACTTCCACTGCCACGACCACCACGATTGCAATTGCAACCACAACTACTACTGCTGCCTCTTCCAACGATCTAAGGCTCCCGTTGCAGGATAGTGTGTGCACGATCAAACTTGAATCTTACCCTAAACCCTAAACCCTAAACCCTAAACCCTAAACCCTAAACCCTAAAGAACTATGGGCCTGAAATTTACTACCTTGTTTTGGCTACCTGATGTTTTGTTACCGAATCCTGACCATAATGCAGGTTACGCCACAAGTTTTCGGATCTTATGAGGTCTAGTACTTGTATAGGGTCCTTATAGAAGTACCCTTAAGGAACCTTTAAAGCAACCCCATTATGTCATGGTTCCGGGCCTAGCTATTGAGCAGAGCAGGCAGCTTTTGTCTACGCGGACACCATGTGCTTCGGTGCTGTCGGCTCCTCTGTGGAGGCCCTCTGGGAGAAGGATAGTGCTTGACATAAGGGTTAGCGGTTTAGGGTTGGGGGTGTAAGGTTGCGGATTTAGGGTTCGGAGGTTTGGTGGTTTGAGGTTTTAAGATGTTCGGTTTGGGTTTAGGTTTCAGGCTTTTCTGTTTCAGGGTGTACCCGGACCCCAGAAATATGTAGAATAATAGCCCTTCATAAGGTTTTGGGCCATGATTTTACCTACTTTTGGGGGTCTAGCTAAACCCTAAACCCCTAGACCCTTTAGCAAGAAAAGCCTAAACCCTAAACTTGACCCTGAACCATTTGGGGGTTTAGGTACTTGGAGGGGCAGGGGACTTAGTAAGTATGGTTATAAGCACAGTTAAAAGTAGCCTAAATGGAGTTACCCAAATTATAACCCCACTTATAACCCTAGTTACTAAGTCCCCTGCCCCTCCAAGTAGGGCTCAGACTACAGTCTCGGGTTGGGGTTCCGAGGAGCGCTCTGGGGTTAAAAGATGGTCTAGGGCTCAGTTAAAGGAGGGACCCTTGATGGGGACCCTTATATAGGGTTCCTTAAAGGGATCTATAAGGATTCTAGAAAGGGTTTAGGGTGTAGGGTGTATCAAAGGGGAAAAGGAGGGACCCTTAATAGGGACCCCTACCCTATAATGGGCTATATAATGGGTATATCATAGCTATATTAAGGGTTTTTTACCTAGGGGTCCTCATTAAGGGTCCCTCCCTTTACGCTTGGGTTAAGTTTCACATATTGGGTGGTTGTCAAAATTAGGGTCCTTTTTGGGGGTCCCTACTATAGTACGGCACCCCTACTTTAGGGTACCCAAAAAGGGACCATAATTTTGACAACTACCTATATGGGAGTTTCCGAAAATTGGGGTACAGTATCTTATTTTGGGGTCCTTACAATAAGGATCCTACTATTTACTATTTAAGGTAGTATATTAGGGTCCCCTCTTTTCGGAAATTCCCACTATGTGTACAGACATCGTGCGTACGTGTAGGGTCTGAGATTTTGTGCTGCCGAGGTCTACATACTGCTATATATATATGCACACACTATAGGCACAGCAGGTTTCTTATGAATTTCCTTCGCACGACGATCACCATCCGCGCGATGGTGACCATTGCCACCGTCATCATCATCATCATCATCATCATCATTCTCATCATTCTCATCATTCTCATCAACAACATTATATCATCATCATCGGCGTAGCCTTAGAATTATGACTAGCCGTAGTCATCGTCGTGACAGCAGCAAGGCGCAGGTGACGGCAGTAGTTAAAGTCGGTGACACCCGGGGGCAGTTGAAGAAACAATCGTCGGTGCTGTCGTTGCTGTCGTCGACGTCGTCGTCGCAGACCCAGCAGTTGTTGCAGTAGCAGATGCAACCATAGTAGGATGACGTGGCGGAGAAGTAGCATCAGTACTGGCTGCAGCAAAGCTGGGGGGCGTTCCTTAAAAATTAGAACAGGGTTTTTGGGACCCATGGTACTATACTTCTAATAAGACCCGCCCCCCCAAAAAATGGTCTGGGTTATTTTTTTTGGCGCCTATATTACCCCCGGGCTCCTATATAAGGAGCTGACGGCCTCCAGTGAAAAACTCCTCCCGAATCGCTTCCTAACCCCGAAGCCCTCATCCTTAAACCCGCACCCCGAAGCCCCACCAGAGAGTCCTAGGTACCGTTATGGGGGATACTTCCCTAACTCAGTGTAACAAATGGTTATTCTTAATATAGATACCCTACATTCTGCTATATAGGTGCATAGGACCCTTTGGGCTATAGCCCTAGACCCTAAGCACCACCGAACCTCAGGTGGCGCAAGATGCCACGCAAGCACGGAAAGGGAAGGGCGCGCCGACCCAAGGTCTCAAGTGATACTGAGGGTGATTTGGGAGTTTCCGAAAATAGGGGACCCTAATATAGTACCCTAAGTAGTAGGTATACAGACCCCAAAATAGGGCACCCCTTACTTTCGGAAACTCCCATTTACTTAAAGGATCATGGGACGTGGTACTTACGAATATTATTCGGGTAACGATACTTCTAACCCGAATGAAGGTACTCATAACCAGACTTACAAAGTCGCACGACACTCCAAGTAGGCTTAGTAGCTGAGTAGGAAACGTGTAAGCTTTTGATAGGTACCCAGCCCCTAGGAAGGACTTTGAAGGCTCCAGGAATTGGGATTTAGAGTTGCGGCTCTGAGGGTTTGGGTTTCTGGAACGGGGGTTCAGAGTCCTAAACCCTAAACCCTAAACCCTAAACCCTAAACCCTAAACCCAAACCCTAACCCTAAACCCCTCGGTCTTGGCTTGAGGGTGTTAGGGTTATAGGGGTTTGGAGTTTCGGGCTTCTAGGGCTTCAGCGGTTCAGAGTTTCCTCTTTGAGGGAGTTTAGGGTTTAAGGGTCCCTAGACCCCCACACCACCTTCTAATATACCCCGATTACCCACAACTAAGGGCAAGAAGGGCTCTGTTGAAGGGCCCTTGGGCGGCCCGGGTCTTGTGTTTAAAGGCAAGGTTGAGTGCTGGAGGGGCCTGTTAGGGTGTTTCAGGGTTTAGGGTGCTTATAGTGTTTAGGGTTTAGAGTTTAGGGCTTTATGTTCTTGCATTGAAGGTTGAGAGCTTGAGCGCATCAGGGTTTAAGGGTTTTGGGCTTAGTGCGGGTTTAAGGGTACAAGGCTTCAGGGGTCGAAGAGGGTTTTAGGGTCCGATTAAGGGGATTAATGTAGGAACCTGACTATGAAACCTTGGGCATTTGTTAACTAGGGCTCCTTATATGAATGCCACTATTTGGGGAATATATAAGCCTGAGGTTTCTTAATCAGGTTCCTACATTAGCATTTAAGGGTGGGTTTATTGAAAGCGGCTGTTGGAACAGAGCCCGTAGAAGCACATTGCAGACTGAGGTGATGGACGGCGTTTGTCTCAGTGCACAGCCTATACGTCGAACGGCCACGGGCCATTTCTTCCAGATCCTTGGCAGCAATTCCGAATTCGAAAGGTCTACTCTTTTGGCTTTATGGTTTCTTATGGTTTCGGATCTGCTTTTTGGAATATCGTTACATAGAGACTCCTCATATATTACAACTATGGAACCAATTCCCTAAAACCCTAATAATATGGATGGTCCTTTGGGACCTAATTCCATAATGGTAGTATATGTAAACTCTCTGGGTTAGTGATCTCTGTATGTTGATAGTTCCCTGGGCATCAAAATAGCCCCAAAGCCTTGCATAGCATGGACTTTGGGCCCAAGAGCCTTAATATATGAGTACTGGGAGCCCCAGACCCTATAGATCCCTTTAAAGGACCCCTTTCTAGATCCCTTTAAAGGAACCCTGTAGGAGTCCTTACAGCCCTAGGGGTTTTGGATGTTTTGGATTTCTAGCCAAGCTTCACATCAGCTTGTCTGCCCCGGACATGGGCACATTCCGGAGCACGAGGCTACAGTGCTGCAGCGTGTATTTGATTACGTGATCGAACTCTCTGCTGCAGATGCTGGGGGTTTAGGGTTATTAGGGATTTAGGCGTTTAGGGATTTAGACGTTCAGGGCTTTAGGGGTTTAGGGTTGTGAAATTTCCCTGTCTTGGAGTGCCGTGTTGACATGTCCTCATGCGAGCGTAGTTTTCGTGCTAGTTCTGAACGCACCCTGTACGACAGACGTCTTGGGCTCAGACCAAAAAGTGCGCTCGTTTGTGTGGTTGGACACTCACTAATCCAGTTCCTGCTTCAAACTGGTAGCGGAGCTGTGAGGACAACCACTAGTGTTTCACCCCCGTAGAGCCTGTGGTCCGGGGTCCGTTGGGTAGAGTAGTGATAGTCGCGGCGCAAAGGCCCCTTCTATCTGAAGCCATGAGCGTGGCAGGTTTGCGTTACCAGCCCAATCTCTGGTCACAGAACCTGAGCCCTGCAGAAACCAAAAGCGGGTCGTACATATACGACGGTACGGCTGCTGGCTTCCACGATTGGTGCTTCCGGACACAGATCCGCGTGCTGCAGCATAAGGAGAAGCAGCGGCGCGAAGCTCTTAAGGACCTGCGTTTTGCCGAGTCGGCAAGGGCCAAGAGCGAGTCACCAAGGAAGTGGCGTGGCAGGGCAAGTCAGGGGACCAGTGCATCGCCCACAGATGGTGATGGAAGCAGCGGTATACCCGCCAGTCCGTCCAGCGCAAAACGGACTAAGCCCGCGTCCGAGGCAGAAGATGAGGATGCGGAGTCATTGCCGTCGCACCCCAGCCAAGTGGCGGGCGACGATGAGCAAGAGCCGGACACAGATCCGGCGGTGTACACTTTGCAAGACATTAAGGACGAGTCGCTTGATATGAGCGAATGCGTTAGCAAGATCTTGGAGGGTCTCCGAGGAGACGCCTTTTGCATCGCTCGCGACGTCGGCCTGGAACGTCTGCTTCGCCATGATGGCGTCGACTACCTGATAGAAGAAATCAGGAGACAAGCCTTCCCTCTTCAATCTGAAGAGGCGTCCGAACTTTTCCGTCAGGGACAGCTCCTGACGGGCCCACTTGCAAAGCAACCCGGCGAGCCTATGTTGTCTTACATAGCCCGCCGAAAGCGGTGGTGGTCGACCTTGCGTGAGCTAGATCCTGATATCCGCCTTTCTGAAGCAATGAGGGCTAACCTCCTTGTTGAGCTTTCAGGGTTGGAAAGGAACGAACAGCTAATGGTCAAGACCGCCGCCCGCGTACACACCGTGGATGAGTACGCACGCGTCCTTGTTCAGCATCACTCAGTGGTGCACATGAAGGAACGTCTTCTTACCCAGAAGGACCCTAGTGGCCCAGGTAAGACCTGGAGACGTTTCGACGCTAAGCCACAGTACCCTAAGTTTGGCTATATGGGGTATGATGGTAGTGCCGCAGAGTATGGTTACCAGGAACAACAGGAATCCGCGGAAGGCTACGGTGACGGCTACGGCGAAGAAGCATACCAGGCCACAGCGTCTGGGGGAGATGATGCGGATGAATGGATTGATGA